GGCCACAATGCGCTGGGCTGTTTAGCTGAGCCGGTCCCAGGAATGGACGTAGAGCCAGGGTCCAGCTCCTGGTGTAGCAGTGATGCATTGCTTTGAAGCTGGGTCGGGGGCCGACAGGTGGCATAGTGGTCATGTTGCTGGACTCCCACGTGGCCCACCGCAGTTAGAGTTCCCGGCCCAGTGGCTTGAAAATCACACCATACCTGTGCATGCATGGCCAGGATTCCAGGAAGAGATTGCAGCGTGGCCATCTCCTTGGGGCGTGATTTCTCACTTTCCTTCTCACTGCCTCTGTCTGTCTCTCTGGCTGGTGAGTGAATGTACCCTAAGGCAAAAACCTCTAAAAAAAAAAAAAGAAACTGAATCCCCTGTGACAACCCACTCAACCCCCTGGCCAGGTCAGCCTGAAACGCAGCGGGACCCTGTGTGTGCGGGAGTTCCGATGCACAGGAGAGCTGGAGGGAGAGCTCCTGGTGCCCAACCTTGTGGACGGTGCTCACGTCTTCCTCACTCGCTCTCTCGCGCTCTCTATCCTGGGGCGAAATAGATAATTAAACTAAAAAAATGTCTGTAATGTCAAATCTATTCAGGGTCATACAAATATAGCCCTCGGGCCAGATTCCTCGGACTCTAGCTCCAGCCTAGAATCTCAGAGCTGCTGTGTGTTAGTGTTTAGTTTTGCACGTAAAGTAGGTATTGCGTGATAGAGCGTTGCTTGTTAATTTGCACACGGTATCTTTTAAAGGAAGTAACAAAATCTTCACACTAGTGTTGCCTCGGTCCTTTGAAAGTCACTGGTTAGCTGACTCAGCACTGAGTGCTTATTCGAGCTCTTACTCAGCAGTACATAGCCAGTGCACACTGCTACCTGCAGTACCGGGCTCTCACGAGTCCCCGGGGTACGCACGCAGCTGACGGCAGTCTGCCCCAGCCCCAGTGCCTGAGAGACACGCCATCGGTGCACGCGTGCCCCACACCCCAAGGGAGAGATGAAGGAGAAGGGATTGCTGTGTGAGGGCCCCTCAGCAAGGGGTGCTTCCTCACGTTCCTCATCTCTCCCTGTCGCTCTCTGCTGAGTGAAGGTGCCCTCTGACAAATTAAAAAAAAAAATGCCAGGCATATATGCATGTGTGTCTAAAAACTCAACACTGGGGGGACCAGCAGTTAGTGTAATGGCTATGTCGCTGGACTCCCACGTAGTCGACCGCGGTTCCAAAAAAAAAAAACATACTCAACACTGGGGATGTTCTCTTTGTAGGATGAGCACATGTAGGCTCTAGCAGTTTAAAAAGAGAGAGAGAGGGGCCAACAGGTGGCGTGGTGGTTAAGGGTTTTGACCCCCACATGGCCTACTGTGGTTCGAGTCCTAAACCTGGTGGCTTGCTTTCTGACTTTTCCTTTCTGTCTCATTCTGTCCTCCTCAAGTCAAATTAAAATAAATAAATTAATTTAATTTAATTAAGTAATTCTTTTAAAAGAGAGAGAAGAAAATACATATTATTTTAAAACTATGAATGGGAGACTAACAGGTGGTGTGGCAGTTAAGTGTACTAGATTCCCTGGGACCAGCAGTTAGCGTAATGGCTATGTCGCTGGATTCCCGTAGTGAACCGGGGTTTGCGTCCCGGATCTGGTGGCTTAAAACTCATGCCGGGCGCATGTATGTGCGTGCCCAAGATCCCAAGAGGAGAACAGAGGAGAAGGGATTGCGACATGGGGTGATTTCTCGCTTTCTGTCTCTCTGTCTCTCTCTGTCTGGCGAGCGCACTCGCCCTATAGCAAAAACCTCTCAAAAAAAAAAAAAATAAAAAATAAATAAATAAGCAACCTTGAGATTCATTGTCTAAACTCTGTATCATTACACTAATGGCTCATGAGCGTTCAGCAAAGTGACAAAACCCATTTTGAGCATGACATAAGGCTATATAAAACTAAAAATTTTTTGTATATTTGAAAAAATAGTGAAGAGACAAATAACAAACTGGCAAAATATCTTACAACAAACCGCAGTTTGAGTCCTGGACCCAGTGGCTTAAACTCATGCTGGGTGTATGTGCGTGCGAGCCCAAGATCCCGAGAGGAGAATGGAGAAGAAGGGATTGCGGCATGGCCTTCCCCCCGGGGGGTGATTTCTCGCTTTCTGTCTCTCTGTCTCTCTCTCTGTCTTTCTGGCAAGTGCACGCACCCTATGGCAAAAACTTCTCAAAAAATAAAAAATAAAAGAACTATGAATGGATTTCAAATATTTTTGTGCCAAAATAAACATATTCATTGTTTTCCATGAACTTCTGGGAGCTGCTTATATGACTTCTGTTTCCCTCCTTACTCCTGTCCTAACTTCTTATTTTTTAAATTCAAACAAAATGGAATGTGTTTGATTCTGAGAGCTCACACCTGTGTTTTGGTTTGGTTTAGGGTTTGTATGCTGGCGGATGCCACCATAACTGTCCCCACCCTCAGGCATGCCTCTATCCGGTCCCGGCCGGTGATTAGTTCAATTCCTGTTGAAAGAATTAGACAGTTTCATTCGAGGATCTTCTCGATACGGACTGGCCTTCCCATCAAACCAAACACTGGGGTAAGAAATGTTTTCCAAATACATGCAAGAAAGATGCTTTTAGTTTAATTCTTAGAATCATGCTATCATTTATCAAAAAGTATACATCAGTCTTTTACAGAAGTTTAAGAAAAAGTGTGCAAATTTTAGGTGTCAAAGATGTGCTCGAGGCATCAGCAGATGGTGCAATGGCTGTGTCACTGGGCTCCCACGTAGTTGACTGCAGTTCGAGTCCCGGACCCAGTGGCCTGAAACATGCTGGGTACTTGTGTTTACATGCTCAAAATCCCGAGAGGAGAATGGAGGAGAAGGGACTGTGGCATGGCCATCCCCCTGGGGGTTGATTCCTCGCTTTCTGTCTCTCCGGCGAGCAGCCGTGCCCTATGGCAGAAATCCCTCTCTTAGACAGACAGGACGAGATGTGTGCTCGGGCCGGCCTGTGACGTAGTGGCAAAGACAGCCAGATCCCACGTGGCCTGCCACAGCCTGACCAGCCACTGCTACGTCAGAAACATGCCAGGCACGCACGTGTGAGGACTCAGCACCCCGAGGGGCTGGGGAAACGGAAGAGAAGGGGTTGTGGTGTGGCCACGTCCCAGCGGGTGGTGCTTTCTCTTTATTTCTCCCTCCCTATCTCTCTGGTAAGTACACATACACTCTGGTAATTAGAAAAAAAGAGAGGAAGACTTGTCGCCGCCGTCTCAGCGATATTGCAGTCTCTGTGTACTCAGAGGCAGGCGGTGGCTCAGCAGCACAGTGCCACACTGCGAGGCTGACCACATGGGTCCTGGCTTCACACCCAGGGAGCTCCCTCAGCCCGCCGGGTTGCCAAGAGCGTGCGCGGCTGTGGTCTGGAGCTGACTAGGTGTTGTGAGTGTGTGCGCGTGTGTGTGAGTGTGAGTCACAGTGTCAGAGCCCTTTGGCAGTGTGTGTGTGTGAGTGTGTGTGAGTCACAGTGTCAGAACACTTCAGCGGTGTGTGTGTGTGTCACAGTGTCAGAACCCTTTGGCGGTGTTGTGAGTGTGTGTGAGTGTGTGAGTGTGTGTGTGTGTCACAGTGTCAGAACCCTTTGGCGGTGTTGTGAGTGTGTGTGAGTGTGTGAGTGTGTGTGTGTGTCACAGTGTCAGAACCCTTTGGCGGTGTTGTGAGTGTGTGTGAGTGTGTGAGTGTGTGTGTGTGTCACAGTGTCAGAAGCCTTTGGTGGCGTTGTGAGTGTGTGTGTGCGTGTGTGTGTGCGTCACAGTGTCAGAAGCCTTTGGCGGTGTTGTGGGTGTGTGTGAGTGTGCGTGTGCGTGTGTGTCACAGTGTCAGAAGCCTTCGGCGGCGTTGTGGGTGTGTGTGAGTGTGCGTGTGCGTCACAGTGTCAGAAGCCTTCGGCAGTGTTGTGGGTGTGTGTGAGTGTGCGTGTGTGTGTGCGTCACAGTGTCAGAAGCCTTCGGCGGTGCTGTCGCTCTCCCCACCCCCTTTCTCAAGGAATAAGTCATTAAAAAATCAAAAAGGCGGTGGCGGCAAGAGGGCGGAGTTTTGGATGGGAATTAACCCAATGGAAGAAGGTGCTGCAGGTGGCATGGTGGTCGAGGTGCTGGACTCCCACATGGCCAACCGCAGTTTGAGTCCCAGACCTGGTGGCTTGACAGTCACCCTGGGAGTGTGCCCCGAATCCCAGTAGGGTGAAGGAGAAGGACGTGCACGGCCAGCCCAGTGGGTCACTCCCCACTCTCTCCCTCTGGCAGCACGCACACCCTATGGCAAAACACCTAAGAAAGAGAGAAAGAAAGAGAGAGAGAGAGAGAGAAAGAGAGAGAGAGAGAGAGAGAGAGAGAGAGAGAGAGAGAGAGAGAGAGAGAGAGAGAGAGAGAGAGAGAGAGAGAGAGAGAGAGAGAGAGAGAGAGAGAGAGAGAGAGAGAGAGAGAGAGAGAGAGAGAGAGAGAGAGAGAGAGAGAGAGAGAGAGAGAGAGAGAGAAAGAGAGAGAGAAAGAGAGAGAGAGAGGCAGTAAAGACTGGCCATTCCTCTTACCAAGAAGGAATGAAAGAGTGAACGCACTAAATGCACCGGCCAAGAGCTCTCTTCCTTCACTGTGAGCCGGCTCGCAGTGGGGGAGGCCCTCCATGCTGACAGGCCGTCATTGTGCCACCTCGGATTAATTTTAGGTATCACCAAAGTGTATGGACAGTCCGTAATGTCCTTCTCATATGAAGTACTAGTATCAAACACTCACGTGCGTATGTAAAGTGCTCTTGGTTTAGAATCCACAGGTTATTAGTGTATAAGCCAAGACTGACTTTCACGGGTTAGTGAAGAGCTTAATTTATTTGTTTCATAATTTCAGATTGTGTGTGTTTTTTTAAAAATAATTATTCTATTTAACTTTGTTTATTTTAATTTTACCAGAGAGGGAGAAAGAGAAAGAGAAAGTGAGAAAGCAAGCCACCAGGTCTGGAACTTGAACCACGGTTAACCAAATGGGAATCCAGCGCCCTTAACCACCATGCCACCTGCCAGCCCCAATAATCTCAGATGATGTGTTAAAGGTGAAAGTGTCGGGACCAGCAGTTAGTGCAATGGCTATGTCGCTGGACTCCCACGTAGTCGACCGCAGTTTGACTTCTGGACCCTGTGGCTTAAACTCACGCCGGGCATGTGTATGTATGTGCCCAAGACCCTAAGAGGAGAATGGAGGAGAAGGGATTGCGGCATGGCCATCCCCCCGGGGGTGATTTCTTGCTTTCTATCTCTGTCTCTCTCTGTCTTTCTGCTGAGCGCACGTGCCCTATAGCAAAAACCTCTCCAATCAACCAATCAATCAAATAGTTGTACCAAAACCCCAATGCTGGCATTTTCCCCACACCCTTGTCAACTTTAAATTTTTACCAATCTTGCAAGTGAAAAATATGATATTGTGTTTATATTTGAGGTTTGTGTAGGCTTCTCTTCTAGACTCGCTAACTATGCCTGCTTTTCTACCATTACAAACCTGTCAAACCCTGGGATCAGCAGATGGTGTAATGGTTTTGTCACTGGACTCACACTTAGATGACTGCGTTTCAAGTCTCAGACCTGGCAACTTATAAAACTCAAGCCAGCTGTGTGTGGGTGCATGCCCAAAATCCCAAGAGGAGAACAGAAAAGGGATTGCAGTGTGGCCATCCCCCCTGGGGGGTAATTTCTGTCTCTGAGAGTGCATGTGCCCTAACAAAAACTTCTCTACAAAAATAAAATAAACCTATCAAATCCTAAGTGCAAAGACTTCTAATTTTTTGGAGAGGTTTTTGCCAGAGGGCACATGTGCTCGCCAGAAAGACAGAGACAGAGAGACAGAAAGTGAGAAATCACCCCTCAGGGAGGATGGCCATGCCACAATCCCTTCTCCTCCATTCTCCTCTTGGGATCTTGGGATCTTGGGCACGCACATGCACACGCACCTGGCATGAGTTTAAGCCACCAGGTCCGGGACTTGAACTGCAGTCAACTACATGGGAGTCCAGCGACATAGCCATTACGCCAACTGCTGGTCCCCTAAGTGCAAAAAATGTTAACTTGAAGCAAATTTCGAGCATAATTGAAAGGTTAGTTAGACAGTGGGGACGCGAGCCAAGGCCTCCCGCGTGCCTGCGGCTGCTCTCCGCGGTCATGCTCACGCCGTCTCCCTTCCTTTCTTCTGTTTTAACTTCAGTTCCATCTCCTCTGCCAACAATTCTATGCCATGTTCCTGAAAAAGGTGACTTATTCTCGCCGCAACTGGCTGCTGATGCTCTCGATACAGATCCTGGTGCCGCTGCTGATCATTGTGCTTAGCCTCATGTTCTTCAGCTTCAGAGCCAGGAGCATGGAGAGCGTCCCCCTGGAGCTGACTCTGACAGCGTATGGCCAGACTGTCGTTCCATTCTTTATGTCCCAGAATTCCAGGCTGGGCCCTCGGCTTGCGGAGCGCTTTGCTAGCATGCTTCTAGCCGAGGGCCACACCCCTCTGGAGGTCTCAGGTGAGAACCGGGCATGGGAGAGCAGGCGGGGCAGGGGGGGGGGGAGCTTCGCAGCCGGACCGTGGGGTGTGCTTTGATAGACAGTGTGGCCAGAAGGCTGAGAAAACACCGCCAAGTGCCACATGACAGGGAAGGGAGCCATCCCGGCGACGAGGCCAAGTGTGTATCTTTCTAGGGTCTAAGTATGGCCCAAAAGAGCTTGATGAGTTAGCCATGTGTTTAAATGTGTTTAGGAGAGACTTAACACCTCTTTCAGGGAAGATGGATATATCGGGCCAGATAAGTGTGGCCAGAAGGCTGAGAAAACACCGCCAAGTGCCACATGACAGGGAAGGGAGCCATCCCGGCGACGAGGCCAAGTGTGTATCTTTCTAGGGTCTAAGTATGGCCCAAAAGAGCTTGATGAGTTAGCCATGTGTTTAAATGTGTTTAGGAGAGACTTAACACCTCTTTCAGGGAAGATGGATATATCGGGCCAGATATAAAGAAAACTAAGCAAATGAAAAAGCAAACTTCAGGGGGAAAGGGTGTACAAAAAAGAAACATTTAATACCCTACTTGGTTAAAGTGTACATAACGTTTACTTAGTCATAATAGTGTCAAAACTGACTCTTGATTTACCGAAATTATGATTTAACTCTAGTGGAAGGAATGAAAGAATAAAAGCACTGAAGGTACTGGTCGGAATGTTCTGGAGGGGAAGCCCCGAGGGACTGGAGAGCAGACTCCTTGCTCCCATAATAAGACGTCAGCAGATGTCAGGAAACGCTAGCTGCGAGGGGCTGCCTCCAGGGAGAAGCCCAGGGCTGGGGGGCTGGACACTGCCACTTCTTGCCATAAGCCTGTGTAACTATTTGATTTTTAAATTATATTCAAGGGCCAGGGCCAGCAGGTGGTATTGTGGTTAAGGAGGCTGGACTCCCACACAGCTGACTGCAGTTTGAGTCCTGGACCTGGTGGCTTGCTTTCTCACTTTCTCTCTCTCTCTTTCTCTCTCCCTCACTCTGTCCCTTTCTGACACTTTAAAATAGATAAAGTTAAATTTTAAAAATAATAATTCTTTTAAAAAGGTATACTCAAGGGCCAGTAAGTGGCATAGTAGTTAAGACGTTGGACCTCCACGTACATGACCACGGTTCGAGTCCTGGACCCGGTGGCTTGACCCTCACACCCAGGCATGTGTGCGTGCATGCCCAAAGTCCCAAGTGGAGGCGAATGGAGAAGAGATTGCGGTGTGGCCACCCCGCCGGGGGGGGTGGGGTGTTTTCCCACTTTTGTCTCTCTGGTGAGTGTACACACCCTGTAGCAAAATATCAAATATACATATATATTAATGTACTATTTTGATTAAATAAAAATGTAAAGTAATTTTTAAAGAATTATTTAATTAATTAATTATCTTTAATTTGCTACAGGGCACATGCACCTACCAGAGAAAGACAGAGAGGGGGAGTGAGAAAGCCGCCAGGTCCAGGGCTTGAACCTCAGCCAGCCGCATACGAGTCCAGCGCCTCAACCACAACACCACCTGCTGGCTCCAGTAACTGTCCTGAACAACAGGAAGGTCAGATGCGGAACAGTGTAAGGAGTGCCCAGCTCCTGCTGCCCTCCTTCTCTGAGCCTGGCCTCCTCACAGGCCGGATGCAGAGGACTGGCCTGGCCTCCCGCTGTTGCTGACGGAGCTTTGTGAGCAGCACCTCCACGCCGGCACCCAGGGCACTGTTACTCTTGTCGTCGCGATTTAGGGTCCCTTCCAGCACAGAGGTCCCAGAATTCTGGGTGGGAGGACGGAGATGGACAGAAATCCCACCAGTGCTCAAGGCTTTTCTAGTCTAGAGGCCTGTGAGTCAGTGACAGTTACAGCACGGGGGCGGTGACTGTGACTGCAGCATGGTGGCTCAGCTGTCCACGTCAGAGTAGGCTGCAAAGGAAGAGCCTGAGGCATGGGAAGGAATGGACTGATGAAGGGGAAGGTGGCCCAGAGGACATTCCAGACAGGAGCATTGTACTCTTGGGTGTGCCGGGTTTCCAGATGCGAGGCCGACAGCGTGGGCAGGAAGTGGGCTGCGTCCATCAGGGGGGGTTCAGCTCCACTGTGAGGGCAGAGGAGGGCCACTGCGAGCTGACCGGCGGGTGCATCTGTCCTTTCCAAGTGGCAGGCAGGCGGGAAGGAGCTTTGCCGGGGCTCACCTAGTCTGTGCAGGTGAATCGGCAGGACGTGGAGACGGGCAGGAGTGCAGGGCAAGCACGCAGGAGGAGGCCTGCTTGCGGATGTGGGCGGGGTACTTGGGAAGAGCAGTGGCCGGGGAGGCCATGTGTGTCCTCACTGTCCCACGGGCCTGGGGGACTCTCAGCAATTCCTACTGCCTGGGATGTCCTGTTACGCCCAGGCTCCATCGAGGAGTTCCTACTGAAGACGGCGGAAGAGAGCCCTGAGGAGTTCAGCAAGCTCTACGTGGTGGCGGCCTCCTTCGAAGACGTGGGGAACCGCACGGTGGTGACGGCGCTGTTCAACAACCAGGCGTACCACTCCCCCGCCCTGGCGCTTTCTCTGGTGGACAATTTTCTCTTCAAGCTGCTTTCGGGTGACAGGGCTTCCATCAGCACGTCCAACCACCCGCAGCCCCAGTCAGTCAAGGAGACCTCGGAGAACATCCTGTACCAGTGCGTGCCTGCCCTCCGCCCGCTGGGCGCCCGTCTGCCTGTCCACTCGCCGTGCTTCATGTCCTGTCTTTCCCAGGGGCCCTAAAGGACATTACCTCGTGATCAACCTGCTTTTCGGAATAGCGTTCCTGTCCAGCTCCTTCTCCGTCTTGGCCGTCAGGGAGAGGCGCAGCAAGGCCAAGCACGTCCAGTTCATCAGCGGCATGACCGTGGCCACGTACTGGTTCTCCGCCCTGCTGTGGGACCTCATCTCCTTCTTCATCTTCACGCTGCTGCTGCTGGTGAGCTTTGGGTGGTGCTGGGCCCCCCGCTGTGCAGAACCAGAACCACCAGGAAGGGCGGCAGCTGAGCCCCAGGCGGGGAGCCCAGAGTCCGGAAGCCCCCTCATGGGCAGTAAGGACAATGCAGCTCCTGGCCTTGTCAGGAGCTGGCGACCAGCGTGTGGTTCCCGTGGGGCACTGCAGAGCTGCTGCTGCTCCAGGACAAATGGGCGCGTCACCTGCTGCACAAACTGCCAGTCACTGATGGCAGGAGCAAACCTCAAATCTGCCTTCCTGACCCCAGGAGGGTGGGGTCTTTCGTAGAGCAATGGCGACAAAGGCAAGAAAAAAGGGGGCAGGTGATGTCACGCCACACTCACGCGGCGGGGCTGGGGCCCAGGAGGGGCCAGCCTCGGGCCGATCTGTGCTAGTGGGTGAAGTTGCTTGCAGCCTGGGGCCGGCAGAGGCTAGGCTATGGGGTAGCGTTTTCCAGCCCTGGGCTGACTGGTGCTGGGATCCAGGGCACCTCCGGATCGCCCGGAAACAAGTCCTGTTCTGTCTTTTCTGTGCACAGAGATTTGTACTTCCTGCGGCCAAGGCCGGCCGAGGGTCACTGGGCGCTCCTGTGTGCGGGCTTGCCGCAGTAGGCCTGCAGGAGTTAGGACTGGGGGCTTCCCCCTGGGCAGTGTGGCCAGCCCTAGTGAGAGGCAGCCTGGGGCCTGTGGGGCCGGAAGTAAGTCTCGGGCACCGAGGGGAGGGACTGCGCTCTGAAGTAGTTGGCTGTGGCCCAGTCGGACAGTTTAAGGCCCCTGGTTATTCTATGTGGGACAGATCGCTAGTGGCCTGTTTTGCTCCTTCTGCCTGTGTGTATTTTTTTAAGAATTATTTAACTTTATTTAAATTTGACCAGAGGGACAAAGCAAGAGAGGAAAAGTGGAAGAAAAGGGAAGGGGAAGGACTGGCACCGCACTCGGCACCCTTGTGCACCAGGCCCCCGGCCCTCTGCGCAGCCGCCCTGCCCATGGCACTGCTGACTTCCCGGCTCCTTGAGAGCAGAGCTGAGGGCTGGCTGGCCTCTGCACCGGGGACTGGAAGAGGGGGCTGCCGTGAGCGTTGCGGACCCCTTGGGGCTTCTGGAGGACACTTGCGTGCGCCAGCAGAGGACAGAGAGGGCGAGCCCTTCCCGTGAAGGGACGGTCAGGCTGCCGGCCCCCCTCCACTTCTCCTTTGGGGCCCAGCAGCCAACACCTTTCGCTCGTTCGTTTTAGGTTTCTGCCAGAGGCTGCAAGCACTTGCTAGAGAGGGACAGAGAGGGGGAAGCTGAGACATGGCTCCCCCAGCCCCCAGGAGAGATGGCCACGCCACAGTCCCTTCTCCTCCAGTCTCCTCTCGGAGTCTGGGGTGCTTTTCAAGCCACTGGGTCACCGGTCAGCCGTGGGGGCGCCCGGTGCATTAGCCCCCACGCCACCTGCTGTTCCTGTCTCCTGGTGAGCTCTCAGTGATGTCCCCTGCCCTCTCTCCTGAGGCGGTGTTTGCCTACCACGAGGAGGAAGCTTTCTCACAGCGCGAGAACGCCCTGGCCGTCACCCTGTTGCTCTCGCTCTACGGCTCCGCCATCGCGCCCTTCACCTACCTGGCCAGCTTCTTCTTCGACAGCGCGGGCAGCGCCTGCGTGAAGCTCGTCGTGCTGCTCACCTTCCTGAGCATCGGCCCCTTCATCCTCGTCTCGGTCACGAGCGAGCAGGGTGAGGACTGGCACGCCCCCACACCACAGAAAGCTCTCGTGTCTCCTCCAGCGGTCACAGCAGCTGTGGTCTAAAGAGACCCACATCTTCGGGAGAGTGGCAAGCACCCCGGCTGCGCTGCCCCGTGGGTCCCTGCTCAGCAATGAGCAGGGACAGGCAGCAGAGGGACATGGAGGCACTGGGTCGGGCAACAGCGTGGGCGCTCTGGGCTGGCCCGATGGCGCAGCAGGCGTGCCTGTGCACACGGAGCCCGAGCCACGTGGCCAGCCCCGG